GAGGAGTTCGTGATCCGCACTGTGTCAGTGGCCACCCCAACTGAGAACATTCTGGAGGGTCTGTACTTTGACTACACGCCTGAGGGTGCTCCCAAGACCATCATTACCCAGTGCCAGCAGCATGGTTTCCAGCGTATTGTGCCATGCATAGACACAATGGATGCCAAAGCTTACTACACCACCACCATTGTGGCAGACAAGCGCTACACTAACATCATCACGAACGGAGACCTGGCCCCTGGATATCACACAGAGACTGGCGTTCCTGTGTTCCACCCAGCATCGGAAGTACTGAGCGTGGACGATCCCTCGCGTCATGTACTGAAGTATTACAACCACAAGGTGAACATGGCGCCGTATCTGTTCTTCCTCGGTGTCGGTACGTACGAGACTTTCCGCCGCACGCTTGAGTTTCCCGATGGCGATACAACGCTGCTGGAGATCCTGGCGTTCCCGGGCTACTTTGAGCCAGCTGATGCCAAGGCTGCCGTCAAGATGCTGCACGACTCTGTGTTGTGGGTCATGGTGAGTCTGGGTCCAGAGGCCTGCGAGCACCACGACGAGCGCAAGCGCATCTACGAGCTTCTGGAAGAGCGTGAGGCTCTTAAGGCCAAGGAAGGTCCGTTATGTCTTGGGCCAAACGAGGAATATGTCAAGACTCCACTAAGCGCCTCGGATGCTGCACGCTTGGCTGCTGTTCGTGCGGAACTGAAGGAGTTGCTGAAGGTGTGGAAGAAGACCGGCTACAAGTACACTGGTGCCGTATACCGCGAGATTGCGATGGAGAATTCGTACTACGGAGGCATGGAGAACGTCGGCAACACAACTATTGTGAGTTCTTGCCTGTGTCCGAGCTGCCGTATGGACGACAAGTCGTACGAGTATATGGAGCATGTGAAGGTCCACGAATACTACCACAATATCAATGGCAGTCAGGTAACTGGCCAGTCCCCGTTCGAGATCTGGCTGAACGAGGCTGTCACGGTTCACATGGAGCGCAAGCGTGGTGCTGCCATTTTCGGTGAGGACTACAGCCGTCTGAGCGAAGTGCTGTATATGTTCACCCCGGCGATCGGACCACTTGCACAGGACAAGTCTGCGACGTCTCTGTCTGTTGAACCGCAGGGTTTCAACCAGACCCAGGAGCTTGTTTCTGTGGTGACCTACTCGAAGGCTCCTGAGTTCGTTCGTATGGTCGAGTTGCTATTAGGCGACGCTGCTTTCCACAAGGCTCTTGACATGTACCAAACACCAAGTATGCGTTTGGCAATGCTACAAGCATGGAGTGGATCAAGTGCATGGAGGAATGTTCTGGTCTGAACCTGCAGAACCTGGCCAAGACGTGGTTGAACCGCCCAGGTCACCCAGAGGTGACGTATTCGACGGAGTACAAGGCTGCTTCCAAGGAGTACGTCGTGGAGATCTCGCAGACTGGTTTCGAGGATAAGCCAGCCGAGAACAACGGACCGTGGGAGATTCCCATTGACTGGTCCCTTGTTAAGGAGGGCAAGTCGATGAAGAACGGTGTGTTTCTCATGAAGACGAAGGATGCCAAACTCGTTATTCCGGATGTGTTGGAGGAGCCAGACTTTCTGTCTTTTGCTCGTGGTTGGTCATTCTTCGGCAAGTCGAAGCAGACGAACCCGTCCGTCGCTCGACTCACCAAGCAGGCGCTCTCTGACCCGGATGCTGTTAACAAGTACCAGGCCTACCGCAGCGTTGCAGATATTGAAAAGGCAAAGGTGATTGAAGGACTGCTCAAGGGTGACAAGCAGGTGGAGATTTCGTCCGAGTTCGTGGAGCTGCACGGCTCGATCCTGTTCTCGGATGAACTCACCCCTTCTGCTCGCGCCCTGACATTGGGAGAAGCCAAGACTATCCCGAACCACGATGAGTTGAGTCATCACTATGCTACTGTTAACGATGCGACCACTGCTCTACTGCAAGCTGTGTGGGCCAAGCACTCGAACCAGATCGAGGCTGCATACTCGGAATTGTGTCAAGAAGCGTGTTCTGGTCCCCATTCGGAGCAGTTCCAGCAGCGTGCCTTGAAGCGCCACTTGTTGCAACTCATTGAGGCAGGAGCCAAGCCTATTGTGCTCGCAACAACACCGTCAATTGCACCAACGGTGGCGCCGTCAGCTTTAGCATTGAACTTGCTCAAACACTCGACATTTGCCAGTGAAAATGCCACTGGTTTTCGTATAGTGTTGGAAGATGAAACATTTGCGGACCGCGAGAAGGTGCAAGAAGAGATTTTCGAGGAATGGAGCAAAACCCCAGACATGCTGACGAAATACATTAGCATCGTTAGCAGTTTGGACTCGAAGGATGTGGGTAAGCAGATTCTCAAGCTGCTCGATGACCCAAGTTTTAACCCCGCTCAGTCCAGTCATGGCCGTGCTGTGACTCGTTCTCTATCGCAGATCCGCGATTTCTCTCTAGCATCGGACGAGGGTCTCGATGTGATGGTGCAGGCGTTTGTGAAAATCGGCAAGGTCAATCAAATGTCTGCGTACCCATTGCTCCAGTGCTTTGACCACTTGGACCGCTTTGATGTCGCCACGAAGGCGAAGTTGTTTGCGACGCTACAGCGCATGCAGGACTCGATCGATAAGAAGAAGGAGGAGTCACTCTACAACCAGCTCAGTATTATCCTGGAGAAGAAGCAGTAACGTGTTGGCAGCTCTGTGGAGCGTAACATGGTAGAGGAAATGCATTAGATTACTAGAAACAATGAAATGCATCACCAGCTACATCAAGCCGAAATGGTCGCGGCTTGCTGAACAGCAGACTTCATATCAGACGCGTCGCCATCTTTTGACCCCGTTGACAAGCTTGGTGAAGACGACGCTTCTGGTTCCAGTTTACCAGCCGCGGCGTCACTGGATGAAACTTCGCCATCCTCTGAAGCTTCATCTTCAGAGACGATAGGGGACATCACAACAACCGTAGCTGCTTCTTGCGGACTATTTGACTCAAATTTCTCCACTGAAGCTTCAAGCTTCCCGTCGGCATTAACTCCATCATCAGATATCTCACCTTCTTCACCTTCTGCAGGTTTGGGTTGCTCAGATTCCTCCAGTGCAGCTTCAAATCTCCTATCGCCTGAAACCTCATCCTCTCCACCTTCCTCTGTGAAATCCAGCGGTGGTTGTTCTGACGTTGGAATGCACGGAGGAGGAGAAAACCCTTGCTTCCTTTTCTCCGTTGGACTCACAACCTTTGACAGCTTGGACGTATCAAACACTGGCGACTCAACTGCTCCATCTTCAGATACTTCACTAGTCAGTGAAGGACGCTCGGAAGGCACAACAATCGGATCGATTGTAGGTCTTCCACTTGCGTGGACCGTAGGCGGAGCCGAAGTTGAATCCTCTGCATTAGGCTGAGGAGCGTTCTCTTGCGTTGGGCAGGAAGGCAATCGAACCCGAAGAATCGACCGAAGTGGTCCCGTGTGGCGCTTAACTGGCGGGCGCTCTTGAGCCTTCGTCGAACCAGCAGGACGGAAGACGAGCAACTTCGAGACTTCCACCTCCTTCTCAAATGGGCACACCGATTCCTTCTCTGCAAACTTGATCTTGGACGGCTGCCAGTCATCGTCCTCGACTTTCTTCGTTTTAATAGTCTCGAATTCCTGGGTTTTCTCGGTCACCCGCTTGGTCACCTGATCTAACACAACCGTTGAACGCCTCGCTCGCCAATTATGCGACGTACCCAACCTTCGCTTGTTCTGGGGAGTCACCAGGTTCCCAAAAATGTCGCGATCGCGACGAGAAGTACTAGTGTCCCTGCCGTTGCGCGAGTCTAATCACATACAGTACACCACGAGTTAGTACCAAGTCGTCTGCCGTATTGTAGCAAGAGGAGGACATACTCATGAGGTTGTGCAGGTGGTTTACCGAGTTAGATCGCTTCACAGCAGGAGCGCTACCATTCGAGGTTGACGAGGTCTTTGCCTTGTTCGGTCGCGGGGAGTCGGTCGATTTGGGAATGCTTGGGCGATCATCATGTTTCTCGTCATCCCGCGGGCTGGGAGTGCTTCGTCTTGGTGAGTTTGATCCTCTACCGCGGTTTCCACTATCACCTGCAGATTTTTCATTAAGAGTCGTACTTGGTACTTGAGTCTCGTTCTGAATGCCAACGTCCGCTTTCATCTTCTTAATAACCCATGAAGCGAGGTCAGGAATACTCGAGTCCCTGTAAGTGCCACGTTTTTCAATAACCCTGATCTTCTTGCCGATCTTGCTGTCGATGATGGCATCTCTAGTGATGCCAGGTAACACCGCAAGAACCTACTCACAAAACACCAACACAGTCAGCTACAGGACCACTTAATGCCAAGCTGCAGCAGTCCCAATCCTTACCTTCAGAACGAGCAGCACACCTTGCTCTGTCTCCACTTCGTCTTCCCACTTGGACAGCAGTGCTGCTAACGAAGTCAGACCATCCTTTCGAACGAACGTCTCCAGAGCCTCTTTATCCTGCACACAAAAGAAAACAGCTCTTGTCAGCGCCGTGGAACACGACGGCTTTGTAGTTTTGGTAGTAAAATATAGCAGGCAACATACCTTGAGGTCAGCCGAGGATAGCACCTCAAGCTGCGCGTTCATCACGGCGTTATTCACAGTGCTCACAATGATAAATAGCACTTTGCGGGCGATGTTGAACTCAACATTGTTGATCGTCATCATGTCACTCTCTCGAACGACTGAATGCACAGGCGATGACGGAGGACTACTCCGCTTCGTCGGTGCCATGTCTTTAGCATTTAGGTCAAGGGTCTTTAGCCGCTTTGGCGACGCTGATGGAGCACTAGGTGTGCTGTCTTTCTCTCCATTTCGCGGGGTTTCATCCGTTTTTCGCTTTCTCTTTTCACCAACTACCGGGCGCAAGTCTGCCGGAATACTGTTAAATACTTCTTGGTAGGTGAGATCAGAACACTCCCCGTCGAAGTACATCACACGAAACATTTTTGTAGCCGGGAAATAGCTCGCCACAGCGCCCTGCACAACATCCATCCCGCATCCTTCCTTCGTGACTGTTTTTTCCACAGGCTTACCAATAAGCTGATTAATTTCTGCTGGGGTGCCCTCCACTTCTTCTTCTTCATCTACCATCACTTCTTCCTCTTCCTCCTCCTCCTCCTCTTCTTCTTCCTCCTCCTCCTCCTCCTCAGCATCTTCTTCATCATCATCGCCATCATCATCTTCTTCAGGAGTGTTAGCTGGGATGCTCAAGCTTAGCGATTCTCGTGCCTCGTCATGGAAACTGGAGGACCCCGTAAAACTGTTGCTTCGCATCAGTCCTGGTGCGTTTGCGTTAAGGCTTAGTATTTTGGGTTTTTGCCTATTTTTCCGTTTAGGAGCCGGCATTACTGCATTCGGTGACGCCACGTTAATACTGCTGTCACTATTGGCTCTCTTCATGTGCGGCGTAGTTGGCTTGCTTGGCGTATCAGGCTTGGTTAGGTTGAGAGTCTTGTGTGGCTTGGAAGTCTTCGGCGATCTTTTAGAATCCGGTAATTTGAGGAAATGGGTCTCGACATCATCCTCAGTCATCTCCTCACTGTCTCCATCGTCGTATGAAATATGGTAAAAATCAGTCACGTCCGAGTGCTTGTCGACTGTACCCTCGAAGGGCTCCGCATACCCGTTAAAGTACTTGGACACGCGCGTCCCCAACGGGAATCGCTGCGTGTGGCTCATTCTCACCTGTTCCAGACAACAACAGCAACAGCAAAGAGCATTAACATACATAATACAATGCAACAGTACTAGGAAAAGACCATGCACCGCCACCATCACTCCCCTCCTCAAGGGCTGAAGGGCTGAAAGGTAGCAGGCAGACAGCAGTGCCGACGAATTGTTGGCTGCCACTGACAGTGTCTTTCTTTTTTAATAATTCTGCAGCTACAGACCATTTTCCTCAAGTTTTAACTGCTAACGTTTCTGGAATCGCTTTCTGCTCAACCACCGGTCGTGTATGCGTCTGTTTGGGGCCTCCGAACGGCAGAGACGCGAACTCTCGCGTTGCCGACCTGTGGGTACCTCACCAATATGTGATGACAGTTGCAGGCGCCGTGCCAGCGTCGCTATCTCGTAGCCAAGCGCGCCCTCTCCGTCCCGTTGTCTTTCGAGTGATTTTAAAATTTAAAATTTCGAAAAGCTGAATGATAACGTCGATATGTTTTATTTTCAAAAATCATTAAATTTAGAGATTTATAAATCCTAAAGCAAAACCCTAGACATAAGAATTCTTTAGATATTCGTTGGAGAGGCATTGCCATCATGCACGTTTACTCTCTTACTCACCAAACCTCAACCCAATTGAGGTTGGTTTTTGGCACGTAGCGCAGATAATCGGCGAGGCAAACAGCAGTTTAGTAGACAGAATGCAAGCAAGCAACGTCTTCCCACTGAGCACTTTGGGATTAAGGAGGAAACTCGAAGAGTGAAAACCCCCTTTTCGTTAAGCCTGAGACTATACACTATCGGACGTATACTTCAACTGCAACAGTACGGTCCCAACCGTATACTCAGCCACTACACAACACGACCATCATCATACTCCCACTTCGTGTTTCTGGTGGCTGTTGTTGCTTGTTAATTTTTTACCACTTGCATCTGAAGCAGGAGGCACCGGCATAACATTCAGTAGCTGTCGTAGCTTTCGAAACTGGAGTGGGCCGAGAGGCTTGGTTAAAATGTCTGCCAACATACCCTCTGAAGGGCAGTACTCCAAAGCAAACTCTTTTTGCTCAACGTAATCACGAATCTTGTGATACTTGAGATCAATTCCTTTTACTTTGTAGTCTCCAGTATTTGCCTCGATCACCTTAATCGCCGCTTGATTATCATCATAGAGAATCGTCTTCTTGCGACGAAGTCCTAGCTCCTTGCAAAGATTGTGTGTCCATATTATCATTGTGCAACATTCAGCAGCTGCCACAAACTCTGAACAGCATGTATCGTCCGTTATCAGTCGTTGTTTGTGACTTGTGTACGCGAACGTACAACCCTCCACTTGCAAAACAAACCCAGTCACAGATCGGCGATCATCTTTTTCATTTCCTAGATCTGCATCTGCATATGCCACAATCTGCACTTCTTTCTTTGGAGGTCTCCATGCGTTCACATATGCCACAAACTGCATATCTGGCTTTTCAGACCTTGTCCACACAAGTCCGTAGTCGGATGTACCTCTCAAGTAACGTAACACTCTTTTTGCCAACACATGATGCTCTTTTGTAAAGCAATTCAGAAACTTTCCTAGTGTGCGTTCAGCGTTGGCAATATCTGGGCGTGTACACTGCACCATATATTGTAACGAGCCAACAATTTGCCGATAATCCACATCCGGGTCTGGATTTATACACACCAGCTCCACTTCCGGGTTTCCAGGCATTGGAAAGTTTCCTTTCACCTGAGGCGTAGGAACAGGCTTGCACTTATCCATCTTATAACGCACGAGAATCTTCTCAGTGTAGCCCTTCTGGGAAATCGTCAGCATGCACCCCGGCACGTACGTGATCTCAATTCCTAATAAATGCTTCACATTACCCAAGTCCTTAATCTTGAACTCACTCTTGAGCTCTCCAAGAACCATCTCAATGTCGGATTCAGTGCCAACAATCAAAAGGTCATCGACGTATACCGTCAGGTATACTTTGTTTGCTCCCACTGTTCTCACATACACACCAGCATCCATTTTGGTACGCTCAAAGCCACTCTTTCGTAGGTACTTATCCAGCATCCGGTACCAAATACGCGGTGCTTGTCGCAATCCATAGAGACTTTGCTGCAGCTTACAAACGCGACCAGTGCCGTCATCAAAGTAGTCAGGCTGCTCCATGTAAATATCTACGTCGTCCAACGGTCCATTCAGAAACGCAGTGACGAAGTCCACCTGACGACACAGAAGGCCTAAGAACAGCGCCAGCAGCAGTATAAATCTCACTGACTCAGCTTTTGCAACAGGAGCGTAGGTTTCCCAGAAGTTGACACCGAGCTTTTGCTGACATCCTTTGATAGTTATCCGTGCTCGGTATCTACACACTTTGCCTTGTGCATTTCGTTTCCGGACGAAAACCCACTTGTTCTTTAGAACTTTCACCCCAGTAGGGCGATCAACCAGTTCCCAAACATGATTTCGTATCAGCGCTTTGTACTCAGTCTCTAATGCTTCAATCCACTCTTTTGCATCTGGAGCACTTAGAGCTTCAGCCACTGACGTTGGCTCCAGCAATTCATTCACTGCCTGTATGACCAGGCTTGCTGGTATATCCAATTCAAAGTCAGACAGCCGAGTATTCGGTCTTCGAACACGAGTTGATCTCCGAAAAGATGCACATGGATCATTTTCTGCTTCGTTCTCTGCTTCTCTATCTCCCCCCACTAAGCGGGAAATATCCTCCACCGGCTCACCATTAGCAATTACAGCATTTCTGTCAGGACAACTCCCACTAGAATCCTTCTGTTCATTGTCCGAATCACTGAGAGCTAGCAACGCCTTTGAAGGCATAGAACTTCTGCTGTTAGACAGGCCCCCTCTACCTTCTGCATCACCTCCTCCATCAGTATTCACACAATCACCTGTAGGATTCCATTCGCGTAGCCCGCGCACTCGCAACGATTGAGCCTCAGCCTCTGCTGATCTCATCGGATTCGCACTCAACACGCCACTCGAAGGTACGCTAGCCAATGCTGGCCCACCTACAGTGGTTGGAGTATCGGCTACGGTACTTGTGCGGAGTTCTCTCAATTCCTGACGACAATGTCGTTTATCACGGTGATCATCACTAGCTGGCGTTCCGAGAGTCACAGCAGAAGTCGGTGATGTCAAACTATCCAGGCGAATATAAGGAATTTTGAACGGGAGCTTATAACTGACACTCGATTTCCGATTGAGCAGGAGCTTCTCCACGTAACTGCATTCCACAGTCCAATCCTCGCTAAACTCCACCGTTCTACACTCCTCAATATTGCCAGTCTTCAAGTCCAACATTCGGTAGCTTATCGTATTCGTAGCATAGCCAAAAAATAGGCATGGCTTGCCTGGGTTCTCTAATTTGTCCTGCCGCAACACCTTCTGTGTGAAAGCATACGCCAGACAACCCCACGTTCGCAAAGAAGAGATATCGGGCCGCTTACCAAAGCGTCGAGTATACGGCGTCTCTCCAGCCAACGCACTAGTTGGACTAACATTCAACACCTCAACAGCGAACGTGAATGCTTCTCCCCAAAGTAATTTTGGCATATTCACCGTGGTCAATAAACTACGAACTCGAGACAAAATCACTCCATTCATATGCTCTACTAACCCATTTTCCTCAGGGCTGTAAGCATTGGTAGTCACGAATGTAATCCCACGAGCTCTGAGAAATGATTTCAAGTTGCTGTTTACAAGCTCTCGACCTTGATCAGACCCGAACACTTCAATTTTGTGACCTTGTGCTAGAAGCCAAGCAATATGCTTCATCACCACTTCACAAGCTTCCTGTTTCCTCTTTAAGAGAAATCCCCATGTGTACCGCGTGGCTTCATCCTCTATAAGCTGGAAATGTTCATAACCGTTATAGGTAGCAACACCCACATAGCACATGTCAGACATGAGCTTTTGGTAAAGCTCAGTTGACCTTGCAGTATCCAAGTTTTTGTAGGACATCCGCTTCATTCGCGATTGAATGCATGTCCAACATCGGTCACTTGGCGCGCACACACTGCCAGACAACTCTAAACCATCCACCGTCTTGTTTCTAACCATTTCCTGCAAGGCCCCATAGATCAGGTGTCCAAGGCGAGCATGCCATAGAATCAGAGCTCTTTCATTCTCACGCGTCATGGCTTTGACTTGCTGCACAGGGACTACGTTAGACCGTAAGCGGTAACGGCCATTCGTCTTCACTAACTTCAGTAGTATTTCACCCTTGCGTAGCCATGCACACTTCTGTTTGCTCAACTTGGTGAATTCCCATCCATCACTCTCCAGCTTATCCAAGCTTAGCAGATTATTTATTCCGCTAGGAGTATATAATACTTCAGAGAGACAGAGCGACAAAATTGCAGGAGACTGATTTTCATTCTTCACTTGAACTCTCAGTTCTCCAACCTGCCCTCTGTTCCTGGATGGGACTCCTTCCCAGTCAAACACTAACGGACCATCATCTTGGCGCAAATCTGTAAACAACTCCTTAGTCGTGCACACGTGACAGTCGCTCGCAGAATCGAGTACCCACTCAACACCAATATCAATTGCGTTTTGCGTAGGTTCCACATTACACAATTGACGCGACATCATATCCACGTGTCTCTGGCTGCCACCACTACCTCCAGATTTCTTTTTATTTTCCCAACGTTTACGCTCTGGAAGTTGCGATTTCGACTCATCGTCGTCGCGTTTTGAACGCGGACAATTCCTCTGAATATGACCGGTTTCGTGGCAATTCCAGCATTCACGGTTG